TCATCTATGTAGATTAATAGCATGAACAGACTATTTGCACATATAATTATATATAAAGAATCAGCAAAAACTTCCACGTTAATCACCAAAAGCAGTTTAATTGCATTATTAGCATTATTTTGTCCTAATACTGCCAGTTACCAAGATCATTCCTTGTAGGAAGTAATTGGTATGTGCTGATACAAGGATGCCCTATATTTAGAAAGTATGCTGGGAGCTATAATAGCACCAGTTACGAAAACATGCAGCTAATATTTATGTGGAGTGTGCAAGCTCTTTGATGATGATATAAGTAGGAGTTCACGGTTTTGGGTGTTTTGTCTACTTGGAACAGGGCATATGTGATTGGGCTTTGTGATTTCAGGTGCCAAAACAGTAGTACAGTGTCATGATCATATTAAGAAGCTGAGTGTTTAAGACAGGCAGAAATACTGGCGCGCATATGCAACGATTTTTCTGATGTGGTGCCCCTTCGTATGCATCCACAGCGCCCATTGACTGAAGTTCGTATCATCAGTTACACTGGTAGCTGCCCACCTATGGAACGGCTAGAACACTTTGCAAAGGCGCTCTATCATTTCAATATATCAGGATGATTTGATTTCAAGCTCCGGTCACGTCTCTACTCCCGTTTGAACTTCTCTGGTATCTTGTGTGTCTTTTCACTGTGCAAGTCCCCGTCATGTTAGTTACCTTTCAGTACACCATGTTCAGTTACAATAAGAGAATCTTCTCCGGAATGTAATATTGTTTTCTTTCCATCTAAGTTGTATGCCATCTGTAATATAGTTATGAATGCAAACCTTTTCTCTTAAAATGCCTTGTGGGATGATTACAATGTAGTTGTTTCCCTTTAGTTGCCATCTGATGAAAAGAGTATACACGCACAATATTCTAATACTTACATTACCCCCTATTACCCTGTGCCGCCGCACAGGGTTCGCTGGTAGTTACTTTACATGAGACCTGAAGCTCTGAATGTTGATGAGAATTGGATGGTTTGCATGCAGGTTTGTGTGGAATCATGTGTGTCCACGAAAAACCTTTGCGAATACATTAGCCCTGCAGAACAAACTATCCTACTTTTGGGGCCAACATGTTTTTTTTTCTATATAAAAAACTGAGTTGGTGATGATGGTATGCCTGTCATCTTGTAATATAGACTGTCCGATTTATATCTGATGGATAGAAAGCAAACTATGACAATTTTACAAAAAAACCCGCACCTCTCTCCACATTTATAGATAAGACCTTGCCTCGTTCATCCTTATCTCCCACAACCTCATTACTGAACAATTAAAAAAGGAAGTCTCTTGAACAATCTGGCATGGTGGCCGCTGCCGGCACCGTCCATCCCCATGCCTTCACCTAGTCCGACCACCAGTCATCACCACGCCCCACTTCTCACCTTATCTCTCATCTTTCTAGATATATCATTTTTTTGATGAAATTCTCGAGATACCTTTTCTCTTAAAATGCCTTGTGGGATGATTACAATGTAGTTGTTTCCCTTTAGTTGCCATCTGATGAAAAGAGTATACACGCACAATATTCTAATACTTACATTACCCCCTATTACCCTGTGCCGCCGCACAGGGTTCGCTGGTAGTTACTTTACATGAGACCTGAAGCTCTGAATGTTGATGAGAATTGGATGGTTTGCATGCAGGTTTGTGTGGAATCATGTGTGTCCACGAAAAACCTTTGCGAATACATTAGCCCTGCAGAACAAACTATCCTACTTTTGGGGCCAACATGTTTTTTTTTCTATATAAAAAACTGAGTTGGTGATGATGGTATGCCTGTCATCTTGTAATATAGACTGTCCGATTTATATCTGATGGATAGAAAGCAAACTATGACAATTTTACAAAAAAACCCGCACCTCTCTCCACATTTATAGATAAGACCTTGCCTCGTTCATCCTTATCTCCCACAACCTCATTACTGAACAATTAAAAAAGGAAGTCTCTTGAACAATCTGGCATGGTGGCCGCTGCCGGCACCGTCCATCCCCATGCCTTCACCTAGTCCGACCACCAGTCATCACCACGCCCCACTTCTCACCTTATCTCTCATCTTTCTAGATATATCATTTTTTTGATGAAATTCTCGAGATACCTTTTCTCTTAAAATGCCTTGTGGGATGATTACAATGTAGTTGTTTCCCTTTAGTTGCCATCTGATGAAAAGAGTATACACGCACAATATTCTAATACTTACATTACCCCCTATTACCCTGTGCCGCCGCACAGGGTTCGCTGGTAGTTACTTTACATGAGACCTGAAGCTCTGAATGTTGATGAGAATTGGATGGTTTGCATGCAGGTTTGTGTGGAATCATGTGTGTCCACGAAAAACCTTTGCGAATACATTAGCCCTGCAGAACAAACTATCCTACTTTTGGGGCCAACATGTTTTTTTTTCTATATAAAAAACTGAGTTGGTGATGATGGTATGCCTGTCATCTTGTAATATAGACTGTCCGATTTATATCTGATGGATAGAAAGCAAACTATGACAATTTTACAAAAAAACCCGCATCTCTCTCCACATTTATAGATAAGACCTTGCCTCGTTCATCCTTATCTCCCACAACCTCATTACTGAACAATTAAAAAAGGAAGTCTCTTGAACAATCTGGCATGGTGGCCACTGCCGGCACCGTCCATCCCCATGCCTTCACCTAGTCCGACCACCAGTCACCACCACGCCCCACTTCTCACCTTATCTCTCATCTTTCTAGATATATCATTTTTTTGATGAAATTCTCGAGATACTTCCGATAAAATTCTTGAGATATCATTAGTTTTTACACATGAGATTACTCCTGCATAGGTCAATCACAACAAGTGTTTTCTAAAAAATGCATCTCGATGTTCCGTGCAATGCACGGGCATCTTGCTAGTGTTTCCCTATTTTTTTTCTAAGAACAGGAGCCACCACCAGAACTGAACCTGAGCAAGGCAATGCTGCTGCATCATCATCATTGCCACGAGCTTTGCCATTCTTAAATCCCCCCCAAAAAATGGACTTTACATTCTTATAATGGCATCGAAGCATAATACGCGCATGCATGCACATGCACGGATGGAACTCCCTTATCCCAGACCAACCGAGCAGAGCACTCGAGTTGGGCGAAAAGGACGCCACGCCCTCCTCCAATTTCCGTTATCATGGCAATGCCATGGCGATCAAACTCAGCTGAAATCATTGCGTAATGCCCTCATCTCGTCCTAGGTAGCGCCACTGCGCCAAGTTGCCGACTGGCTGCAATTTGGTCACCTGTGGAAACCATCTTGACCAAATCGAGCCGGCCAATGGCGCCCCGGATAGCTACGTCGAAGCTGAAAGTGCCACTGCGTGCGTGCGTGCGTGCGTGCACTGGGCTTGCTTCGTACACAATGCACGTAGCTGGCGCTGCCATTGTCACTGTCACGGCTCGCCCTTGTAGGGTAAGTCTGGATGTTACTGGACGCACGCTCGGACGCTTCAGTGCCACCTAAAAACGATTGTCGTTTGGAATTGGATTCTTACATTTTTATTTTTCAAACCTGCGTTAATACTTCACCCCAAAAATTTCAGACTGGTGTGAAAGGAAAGGAAATCACTCGTCCTTTTTCTCTACCTGCGGGCTTAAATCGACACTACTATTAATTTCAGTGTCAGGGTTGGACCCTGATGATTGCCCGGACAGCAACCGAGCCCACCCTTCAATTGATGAAGATAAAGTGCGAGACCGATTTATATATCGGGCGCATTGCTGAAATTCAGGAATTATTGGAAAATCAAAAGCAGAGCAGGGAGAGAAAGTGAGAAACGATGCATGACTCGTCGATGCGGTACAGTGGCACACGGGCACGCAATCGGTACACGGCATCGGTTCTTGATGTCGCCGTGCTATACACACGACAAATTCAGACCGGCTCATGCACGATAAACTAAATCCAGCCGGACATGCGTGTATGCATCGGGACATCTACCGCTGGATTTTCATGTCGTGCATGCATCGGCCACAAGGATCGTGCATGAATCAGTTTCGTGTCGGTAAACACTCTGCGTACGTGGACGGATCCGCCGTGTCGTATGTACATTACGTTACACATTGCAATCCAGCTGGACGGAACGAGTCCACGTACGCAGAAGAGAGCGCCGACCTGAACAAAGAGATGGAGACGGGGAGAGATCTTGGGCTTCAAGTCTCGTACTGATGGCGAGGCCTCGTGGGCGGGGGGCGCTCGCCGGCGGATGGAGGAGGGTTGCGGCGTCGCCGTCGTCCGCGTCAGCTCACCCGCCCGTCACGCCACGGACAGAGACCTGCCCGGATCTCCATCGGCGACGCGCCTACGCCCACTGGAATGAAATGAGTCGACACGAACCACGGCAAGCAACGAACGAACAACACAGGCGGGAACCCCCCTGTTTCCAAACCCAGAAGGGGAGCCCGTATCCGACGGGTGCAGTGCACGCAGGCGCGACCGTGCGGCACGGCCGCCCGTCCGATCGGAGCCCGGTCGCCCGATCGGGCGAGCGGGCGAGCGATCGAGACCTTGACGGCTCCCCCAACCCCACTCGGTCCCCGTCCGGTCGCCCGCCCCCGGTCGCCGTCGCCGTCTTGCCTCCCTTGAACGCTCCCCCTCCCTCCCTTCCCCCGCACTCCACAACGGGATTCAGCTGGCTCGCCGCCATCTGGGCCCGGCGCGTCATCCGTGGCCGCCAACCATCACCAGGAAAGAGAGGTTTCGCGCCGTGCTGTCTGCGCGGGCAGGTCGCAAGTTGCACTCGCCGAGCGGCTTTCGCTCCCCCGCCCGCCCGCCCGCATTATAATAACCGGACGAGGCCGCGCAAGCAACAAATTAACTCTCGCAGCGGCAGCGGCGGCGGCCTGACACAGAAGCTCGGCTAAGCTAAGCTACGGCAGGAGCGACAGAAGCGACAGGGAGAGCAGCACGTTGGCTCGTCCGTTCTTGGAGTTGGAGTCGAGCGAGGGAGGAGGAGAGATGAGGGCGAGGGTGGCGCTGGAGCCGCTGGCGGAGGAGCCGGGCGCCGAGGACGAGTCGGGGGCGCGGCGGCGGTCGGGGCTGCAGGCCACGCTGCACCGCTGGGCGCGCATCCTGTCCGGCGGCGCCGCCGGGGACGACGCCCGCCCCGCCGCCGACCTCCGCGTGCTCCTCTCCGTCCTCGCCTGCCCCCTCTCCCCCGTGCCCATCCTCCCGCGCCTCCCCCGACACGTACGCTACGCATGTCTCCTTCCATGCCTGCCTTGCCTCCCCCGCGCGCGCCTTTGGTTTTGCGAGCCTTTGCTTATGTACGCTGCTGCTGTTGGGTGCGCAGGTGGCGTCGTCGGCGCAGTACATAATCGAGCAGTTCAGGGCGACGACGGGGTGCGGGAAGCTGGAGGGGACGGCCAAGAGCATGTACGCGGCGGGCAAGGTGCGGCTGGCGATGCTGCAGGAGCCCGCCGGGGCGGGCGGCGGCCACGCCAACGGCAGCGCCGGGCGGTGCCACGAGGGGAGCTTCGTGGTCTGGCAGCTCGCGCCCGGCATGTGGCTCGTCGAGATGGCCGTGGCCGGCCACAGCGTCGCCGCCGGCAGCGACGGCCGCGTCGCCTGGCGCCGCACGCCCTGGCTCGGCGCGCACGCGGCCCGCGGCGGCTCCCGCCCCCTCCGCCGCGCCCTCCAGGTTAGTTGCCCATCCATCCATCCATCCATCCATCCATCCATCCATTCATTCATTCACCTCCACCCGCCGCCGCCTCCACCGCTCCACAGTCCACGCTCCCGTGCACGCACGCACCGCGCGCGAGCTGGCGGTGCCATTTCCGGCGCGGCGCATCAACCGTCGTGACGCCCACCGCATCCTCCTCCGTCTTTCCACCCTACAGTACCTTTCCCCCCTTTGCCGCACCGCTTTAGTTTACCATCGCATCACCGGCCATGCCACGGCATGGCACCGCATGCCTCCCATGCACCGTCGTGTTTACTGCCACTATACTAGCTCTGCGGCCATCCCGGCTCGCCCATGACAGGCCGTCCCCACGCGTCTTCCACCTTCTCTTTCCCCGTTGCAGCCCGCTTTTGCGCATGATCTTTTCGCTTTGCTTTGCATCTGTGCGCCGCGCGCGCGCGCGCGCGCTCCCTGTGCCACTCAGCGCACGCAGTAGGGCCGGCCGGCACACAGGACGTGCTACTAGTACGAGTACCGATTAGTTAAATTTTTTTGAAAGCGATTAGTTAAAATTGAGAAAGATCCACCGTGTAATCGGCCGGAGGGCGGGAGCAAGTGGAAGAATCTTTGTTAAAAAGCGGTTGGACAATGGATATACTACTCACTACGACTACCCCAACGTATGCGCACTGCACAGTACAGTTGTTATCTTGGGATTCGGAGCTGGTAGCACACCAGCGCCGCATGCCATGCCATTGCCGCACTGTTCATGGCCGCCATTATTGATGCTCCATGCCTCACACATCCACTCGCAGCACATTTCCTTTGTGAAGAGATCCACGTCTTGTTTGACTTGGCGGCTATACAAGGCTTGTGAGATTAGCCTGACTCATTCTGCCTTGCCTCTGCTCACATGGGGCTGGAATATCTGCCCTCATCTTTGATAAAGTGCCCACTGGGAGATGTTTGATCAGCATGTGTGTGAGCTCATCGAGCTGCGCAGATTGGCTGCTTTTCTTTAGGATTAGTTATCTTATCTTAGCAACTCCCAAATCGAACCACGGATCCTGGCTTTGTGCTCTGTTCGACAGCTTGGAATCGACCGATATACATCCCACAGACACGGATCATACTGTGTTGTAATCTGCTGAAGCAAACCTTAACGACAGATCTTGTGATTTTTTTTACTGAATGAGTAATACTATCTTAATGATGTAGGTCGTCAGTTGGTATTCTGAGCAAAGCTAGCCCAACCAACGCTAGCAACTAGGCAGCACTAGTAAATTTCGACGCTGAAGTCATGATCTGATCCCCAAAATCTTGATGCTTACCGAACATTTATAGTTAACTCTGTAGAGTAGCTCATGCCTGCGCAGGTCTACCTGTTTGAACTGTTCGCTGGATCTATGTGGCGTCAGTTACTTATATAATTAGTTAGGTCGTTCGCTTAGGCTAACTGCTAGCTCAACATGACGATGTACTTAGCTGACTAACTAGGACGACCCAGTTGAGTAATTGGGCCAGTTTCGGTCTAGAAAACAAGTACTTTCTCCGGATGAGGAGGAGTACGTACTGCTAATTAATTATTGTGCACTTGTTGCCTCTGCAATGTCACTTCAAGACCAGAGAAAGTTTCAGCAAGTTTCCTTGTGTACTTGAAGACTAGAGAAAGTTTCAGCAAGTTCCTTTGTGTAGAAGATAGGAAATACCACAAGTGTGGCCTACTTGAAGAAAGCGTACGGACGACGCGCACAATATATATGGAAGCTGTTAGCTGTTCATAGTGGAGCAAAGATTGTACCTCAATTGTGTTTAATTTAGGGGTGCTGCATTTCTATATCAGCAGCTTCCTCTGCTCCATGACAATAAACCATGTATGCACTAGTGGCATGTTCTTACCTAAGCCAGATGGTGACACAACACAGATTATATATTCCCTTCATTTCAAAATATAGTGCGCCCGCGCTTCCCGAGGTCCAACTTTGACCATAAATTTAACCAACGAGACCAACTACGGCGGGAGAAAAAATTATATAATTGAAAACTTCTTTCGAATACGAATTCATTGATATAATTTTTGCACCCGCCGCAATCGGTCTTGATAGTTAAATTTATGGTCAAAGTTGAAGCACGGAAATAGAGAAAGCACTACATTATGGAATGGAGGGAGTACTCGTTTGCTACCAGACTGCCAGCCCCTCTAGAATATTCTCATAGGATGTGAGTACTTTGATCTAACGTGTGTGTATTAGGAGTAGCTGAGTAATTTTTCACCAGTTGGAGTAAATGGCGTAAGAATAGTAGAAATCCACGTGAGAGGCTCTGTACTTGGCCATAAACTGATGGTCCAAAAGCGCCAGGCACTGACATGCTATCCATATGTCCACTTGCCAAGCAGAGTTATTATCTGATCAGCTTCACTGACATCCCATTTCTGTCACTAGTCTAGTGTCCACATGTAGACCTAGAAGCGGACTGCAGAGCAGCAGTTCTCAGTTTTCAGTGTGGTAATTCTTTGAAAATCACATCGGTTCCAATGTTCAGAAGACTTGCAGAGTTACACTGTTCTCCGAAGTCGTTGTCGGTGTGACTGAAGAAAGAACTATGATGTGGTTTCGAATTGAATGTCGATCTTGTCCATGCACATGCAGGGCCTGGACCCGGTGATGATCGCGTCCATCTTCTCGACGGCGGAGCACGCCGGCGAGAAGCAGGTCGACGGGGAGGACTGCTTCGTGCTGCGCCTCGACGTGGGGCCGTCCACGCTGTCGAGCTGGAGCGACGGCACGGCGGAGGTGATCCGGCACGGCCTCACGGGGTTCTTCAGCCAGCGGAGCGGCCTCCTGGCGCGCCTGGAGGACTCGCAGCTCACCCGCATCCAGTCCCCCGGCGCCGCCGCCATGTACTGGGAGACCACCATCGGGTCCACGCTCGCCGACTACCGCGCCGTCGACGGCGGTGTCACCGTGGCGCACGCGGGGCGGTCCACGGCGCACCTCGCCCGGTTCGGCGTCGGCGTGCGCGCCGCGCGGGTGGTGACGCGGATGGAGGAGTCGTGGACCATCGACGACGTGGCGTTCGACGTGCCGGGGCTCGGCCCCGACGCCTTCATCCCGCCGGAGGAGGTCCGGCGGAGCCGCTTCTACGACGCCATGGCCGCCGCCGGCGGCAAGTAAACCACTCGATCGTACGCAGGCTCAGCAGAGTGGTGTAAGTGTAACACGTAGTAGTCCAGTAGTGTTTTGTTTAGTTTCGTCGGTGTGTCGATTATTGTCTGTGATTGTGGCACGGAGAAAATGCAAGCGCGTGTACATACATATGTGTACCCTGGGTTTTTACCTACAAAGAAAGAAAAACTCACAGTTTGTAAAAACTCAAACCTTCTTTAGATGAACTCCTTGATTCACATAGACCCTGCACCCGTTGTACAAGAATCCTGTGTTGTTCTTGCTGAAATCTGTAAGAAAGATTCAGGGTACGTGTCTCCATGCATCTAGGAAACAGCTTTGTTTGGTTCTCTTATTCTACCTTGTTAATGTACTGCTGCCTTCTTGGAATTTGTCTGAACCTTGCATGTGAGCTGCATTTGTCTGAACCTTTGTACGTACTGACCTACGCTTGGTCCCTTCCGGCCTGCCTTGGTCGCCGATCTGCATGAGAAGTCGTGCGATAAGATCATTACATCAACAGTAGGTGAGTTCCAATGAGATCAGCGGAGCGGCCACTCCCCTGAGCTGTTAACGACGAGGGTTGGTGGCAGGTTTAGCACTTGACAGTGTCTGCACGCCCTCTTTCTCCTTGACGACGATAGTACACGAGCACGCGTCACTGCACTGTAGCGGCTACTACCGGCTGTCCGCTCCTCCTTGTCCGGAGCTGCGTGTCCCTTGCGCGGGCGGCATCAGCACCTGCGCGTGTCATCTCAGTGCGATCACGTCGCGGAAAAGTTGCGGGTCACGGTCGTCGTCGGGGGGCCTGCCGTGGGACGCGACGCCGGCTGTCCTCTTCTTCTTCCTCGCGGCATCGGCTGCCGGGCGGGCTTCGCTGCGGAATCTGGCTGGTTTTGTCCCGCTCCTTGGACGCTGCACTCATGGAAACTCGCGATTCGGATAGTTGTGGCTTGGAGTTTCCTCCGTTTTCTCTCTGCCCTCGTTGCAAGGAGGAGGACCGACGCCATGCATGCTTGTCTCTAGTAGAGTTATTTTTTTCTTGACGGCGATGCCTATAAGAGGCTTGAGACTCACATGGGTTCTTCTTCAGCGATCTGCCCTGTAAGCACGAGTGCTGTTTCAACTTTCGGGGACCACATTACCACAATCCTTTGAATATACTCCCTCCGTTTCTAAATACATAAAGTCTTTTTGAAGATTTCAATATGAACTACCGATGAAGTAAAATGAATGAATCTACATCCTAAAATATGTCTATATATACATCTATATGTAGTTCATATTAAAATCTTTAAAAAAACTTATATTTAAAAATGAAGGAAGTACAAGCGAGCATAGCATGTACTACCTTCGTTTCAGTTTACAAGTCCTACGCGTATAACTAGGTTGTCAATTTTCTCACCTTAATATAAACTATATAACACAAAAATTATACGGTTTGAAAATAGAATATTTGAAGTTTATATTGATATATTTTTTGTAGTATATGACGTGTATTAGGTTGGTCAAATTGACGACCTAGGGGCACGCGCACGCCCTGTAAATTGAGAGAGAGGTAGTACGAACAGGCCAACCTCAGTGGGAAATTTTTACTCTGGATCACCTATCATTCGAGTGCATCAGTGCATGCAGGGCAACTAATCCCTTCGTTTCTAAATATAAGTCTTTTTTCTAGAGATTTTAATATGGACAACGTAATAATGGTAATATAGATATACATAAACGTATTTTAAAAATGCAAATTCACTCATTTTGCTTCGTGTGTAGTCTATATTGAAATCTTAAAAAGATTATATTTAGAAACGGAAGGAGTATATTCGTACCCGGGGTACCTATTCGAGCAGTGCTGAAGTACGCACGCACGCATGCACCGTCCGTTCGATCCAGGACTACGTGTGTGTACCTACGTACGTAGCTCCATTCAGACAGTTCGGAGCTACGGCGCAGGCGCACATGCATGCATGGCGCCATGGCGGTCCCTCCACGATGCGCGTACGTGCCCACGCCTCGCCGTACCGGAAACCCTGTGTGCTGCATGCGACTGTTGTCCACGTACGTACGTACGAGCCGTGGCCGTGCGAGCGAGATGGTTCACGCATACGCGTGGATCGAGCTTGTCGTTACCTTTTGACAGGCATCGATCGATCGCATCATGCGCTCGTGCTTGCCAGGTCCGGACAACTAGGCCTCGAACGTTACCAACTCGGTCGTACGTACTGATCATGGGTCGCCAGCCCGATCAATCTGACCATGGCCATGGCCTCATGGGTCGCCTGGAAGTTTTAGCAGCTCCTGTCCTTGCCACCGGAACTTTTCTGGTAGATATGAGGTGAACAACAGGATGCGATCTTCCGTTGGTCCCGAAGAATATGTGCTCATCAGCGAGTTGAACGAACGGGGAAGCCTTTTGCATAGCCTGCACCTGCAGCTGCAGTGTGTGTGGGCACGGAAGTGGAGTGCCACACTACCTACGAACGATCAGATCTGAAGTGATGTCACAGCAGTGATGTGACTAACTAGGTGCGTACGGGTACGGTGCATGTGCATGCATGTATGGGGCGTCCATCCTAGTCACGTTGCAAAAAGGATCCGCAGTGCCGGTGCCATGCTCCGCCCTCGTCCTCGTGTGGATCTCTGTGTGCTTTGCTTGGGGGTATATACTGGTATAGTAGTGCACTAGTGTAGTGATACGGCTCATCCATCCTTGATATTCGAAGAGCACCACCGTAAACGTAAGTCCTCTGTGTTTCTGCCACCAACTTGTTAGTAAAGATGTCATGCTGCAGCGTCTCGATCAACGTTGGAATCGCGGATCAGAGTGAACACCACATATCAGGCATTTGTTGAGAAGGCGGATCTGATAACGCAGACAACGGTCACGTGTGCTGCTCCTGGCGTCGATGTGGGACACATCTCAGCCATCACCGAAGCACAACATATATCCAGTGAATACGGACCGTCGTGAGAGCGGGACGCATAGATAGCCTAGCACAAGAAACCCAACGACCAAACCAAGCGGATCAGAACTCCATTCAGCCATCCGCCACGTCGAGCACCTCCGGAGCACCACCACCGGTCGCCTGCAAGCCACCACAAGCTAGATCCCAACGGATCCAAAGGGGCCGGTTTCTTCTACCTGACTCAAGTGTCCATTCTTGACACAAAACCAAACTAAAAAAGATGTGTCCACATAAAAGACAATGAAGAAAAGGCTCACTTGACTATGGCTTTTATCTAAAGTGTTTTCTTCTAGAAACAAATAAATACCATAGAGAGCAGGAGGAGCAGTATGTGCTGAAATGGCTAAACAAGAGGGGAGTGTGGGGTGTTTCAGTGAAACATAGGTTTTTATTCTAAGATCGCGGAGTTATATTACAGTCAGTTGCAACAAGTTTGAAAACACAAACAGGGGATTGGTTAAGCCAACACACACTGCTATCCATACTACGACCAAAGTTCGCTAAACAAGAGGGGGGTGGGGGGTGTTTCAGTGAAAACTAGGTTTTTTATCCTAAGAGATCATGGAGTTACAGTTGCGACAAGTTTGACAACACAAACAAGAGATTGGTTAAGGCAGCACGCACTGCTAGACAATATGCAACTCTGTTATGCTCATGAGAGAATTTTACCGACACAAACCCCCTATCTTCCATTAACCTCCTAATGCGAGCAACCAAATGGTTGTAAGCTGATCTGTCCAAAGATCTGTCCGCAAGAGATTTTTTATTCAGAGAAGGAGGGTTACCCTCGACCTTCGTGTCAAAACGATGCATGCAATCATCTTATTAACCAAATAATTCAACAAGTATGTAGTACAATACGAAAACTCATCATCACTAGTTAAATAAAAGAACAACTCAAAGTCACAAACCACAAAAAATAGGTCGGACTAGATGACCATACATCTATTCTATTGTTGGATCGTTATCTAAATCGCTTGTAGGTATTCCGTGCTACCTATCTAAAGATCTGTCCGCAGGAGGTGCCAACGCAATTGAACAATCAGATTGGAGTTGCACCGGGAGATCAATCCATTGAAGAGCCGGACGGAGCCATGGCTAGCTAAACAAGAGTTGGACTTGACAATCCTGACGATCGAGGACTAGTTCAAGGGCACAACCAAAAGCGCTGTGCTTCATCTGTACCGGCCGGTTCAACGATGTTTGTACTGCGTTTTCTTGATTCAGTGTGGTAATACGGGCGGCTACATGCGTACCCAGGCAGCCAGTTGCCGCCGCACGAACAGGGCCGGCCCATAGGCCGGGGCAACGGGGCGACCGCCCTGGCCCCTGGGAGGTAGGGGCCACAACCCACGTAGTAGTATATTATACAGTAAGGCCCAAGCCCACCACGTAGCTAGCACTCACGGGTTAAAAGAATCGATAGCTAGTTTAGCTACGCTGCTGCAGCGCTCCATCGATCTCCTTCTGTCTCGTCTCCAGTTTCCTCGCCCCCTCAGCTCCTCCCCAAATTTTCCAATCCCAAAGAACAGTGCCGCCGCTCCGGTGCACTTCCAAATTCAAGGCGCCGCTCTGTGTATCCATTAATGGAGACCAACGATGCTGTTCCTCTGCCCAATCATCTCTCTTTGCATCCTCAACGTTCCACATCTGATTGCAGACGCTTGAGGCATCACCGCATTAGAGATGGTATGTCTACCTCCTTCCCCTAATCAAGTACTCTTTTGATTCAAAATAGCCCGGCACTCCGCCTCTGATTGCTCCATCTGACATCTTCAATTCTTCTCTTCCTAGTTCTTACTCTACTGGCATGTTCTTCAAAGCTTCATTGGATCCATGCGCAAAAACAAAACAAAAAGCTTCATTGGATCCAGGGATTAGAAGGGGAGACGGGGAATGAGTGTTGTAGCCTTGCAGATGTGGGAAGCTACATCGACAATTCGACATCAAGCCATATGCCTATATTCAGGTGCTTTTCTCCTTGTATTGACTGTTTTTCTGTAATTTTTTGGTGATATGTCTTCTGAAAAATGTTTATCAGTGAGA